TTCAATTCATGGACCATGTATATGAAAAAACAGACCTACTGTCAATCAACTAGCTCCAGTCTCCACCCTGTCTATTCTGTTTCTATCCCTAATACAAACTCTATGACATGCTGTGTCCTAATCTCTTGTTTGCGAAACCATAAATGTTGTAGTACAGCTTGCCTTGATTAGGTTTAATGTTTAACTACAGGGATTTTTTTATAGCAATCGACTACATTTTTTATTTTTCGTATATAAGTAGATTCATATTACTGATTTACTGATAGTCTCGAGACTCTACTTATATATACAAAATAAATAAGGTGTGAAGACCAAGATGGTGTGGCCTTTTGTGTGGTCGCAGTCTTCTTTCGTTGTATAGAAGTTGTTTGACCTTGTTTTCGCAACTTGGTCATATTGGTAGGAAGACCTAGAGGAACGCACTCAGTCTGAAGTCTATTGTATGCATCATCATTTCTAGAGCCAAGGATTTATTTACAGTGAATTTGTGAAGGAGCAGGGCGACTATCTGACGGCTAAAGAAATGTAGAATGTATATATGTAACGCAAGAAGAGAAGACTAGGTAAGAGTTACCCTCCTAAAAGCTAAACTAATTCACAAACAGATAAAGGCTGATGATAGATGGAAATGATGGAACGAGGCTATTAAATGGAATTTGAGAAAAGAAGACAATTCGAATCGGTAAAATGTTCCTTTGACCAGCTGTAGATCGAAACTCGACTGGAAGTTCATAAAAGAACTAAACATATATATAAATCGGTCACTTGTTGTATGCTGGAAGAAGAGATTACAATAAGTCACATAACAAGGCACGCTTTTCGGAATGATTATTCAAGAAAGCAGTTTCCGAAAATTTTAAAGTGTAATAAAACAACGTTTTATTTAGATCTCGTAATAAACACATCGGCTGTAAAAATTATATTATAAAATAAGTTTAAGAACAAGGGAAGATAATCGCATGCCTTTAGATAATTACTAACATAGAATTTTTTCAGAACCAGTAAGATTAAGGAGAATGAGGGAAAACTCACCCTCCAGGTTATTCTGGGCTTCGCCTTGTAGCGTTGCCAGATCTAACCTTGCTTGTTCAGACTGCTTTGTGATATTTTCAACCTCATCCATAAGACTAGCAACCTTAAGACAAATAAGAAAAATAATCATAATTGAGAGGAGTATTCAGTGCATGATAATGTATACAATAATCAGACAGATCCTACAGAATCTCTTGCTACTAACGTTTTGGAAATGATAAAGTATATTGTTTTTTGTAAGAAAAACAAAATGAGAGAATATGACATTTAAATAGTTGCTAATTTTACGTAAGATCATTTTATTATGCTAGAGCTGAATTAGAGCTATGTGGATGAAAATCGACAAATCGGTGAGACTATTAAAAGCTAAATGAATCCTAAAATAGATCAGCTAAAACAAAGAAAAAAACTTAGAGGCAGGCTATATAATGAGAATATGGTGCTGTGAATATGGTGTAGCCATGCCCATATTATGAATTGCCATTTTGATCAATATAAATAAACAAGAAATGTATAATGATATAATCTATCGCAAAATGCACCGATTATGATAGGAATAAAAAAATAGGTACCTTGCTGCGCAGGTTAGTTAATTCACGATCTTTAGTGAGGCGTTCTGATTTCAATTCAAAGATGTCATTAGAGTAGGCCTCCAATTGTATCTAAGTAGACGATAGATAATTAATAAGAAGATAAATAATCTCGAGTTAGTTTATAGAGCCATGCTGAGATTACGAAATGGATTCTAGGGGTCAGTTATGGCAAAAATTATAGCAGCATAAAAAGAGAATCATTAAAAAAAGATAGCTTTTAAAAAAATATCTGCTGGGTTATCAATCTAGATAGGAAAAAGGTAAAATAATTAGGGATGAAGGATTACATGACAAATGTCGAAATAGAATAATCAATCTAGAAGTTTTACGTAAATTTTGGGCTAAAATGAATATTGCTTTTAGGAAAAGCATAGAGACATAAAAAGCATAACAAAATAGTGATATGGAGTCCATCATTACTCTTAATATAGTATAAAAAGATTCAGATTAAGAAAAAAGAGATATGAAACAAGTCTGATATCAAGAGTGAAAACAAAGCGTATGTGAAATATGGATTAAACGGAGGTTGCCTTGTGCTTACAATCGCGGCACTTGACTTTCTGAGGGGCGCTGAGCTGAAGATTAAGATGCCATTGGAGACTAAGCATAGAAAATTAATGTAGATACGAAGAGTAACTGGGTTTAGATTAATATCCTGAGATAATATTGTTGAGAACATCGTTTCCTATGAAACTGCATGGAGAAGAGATTCGTAAGTTGATCTCACCAAAAGAAGACGGCTGAATCTCGTTGTGCTGCAGCCGTTTGGCTTTACTACGATGTTCAGGTTGATGCAGTATACAAAACATCCTCCCTTGCTCCGAATAAAAACGGGCTGAGCTTTCGTTCATCATATGATGGACATCATCAGAGCTAGAACTCATTTTTGTAAAAAGTCTCACTAGGTCAAGAAGACTATCCGGCTCTATCTTAACTCTTATATATACTTAAAACCATAAAGGAAAATGAACAGGCATATATAGATATATAATAGTTTGGCTAATTATCCTTCATGCTGATCCTGCTACTTTAGCTTGAATCTGTGTTTGTGTGCGTTAACGTCTATACGCAATAACGAGAGTGATCAAAAAGGCTAATGCCAGGCTCAGGTCATCAAGACTTAATGGTTGGGGAAAAAATTCATAAAAGAGCCAATACACTTTGGCTTCCTATAAACATCTCAGGAGATTCATCAAACACAGTCACTCTTTGTATCTGCAATTTACGTATGGGTCAACTTCTTGTCAATTGGGGGTTAGATACATAGATGACTATTTTAGGATCTGGCCTCATGGTAAGAAAAGCTTAGAT